AAAGCAAAGTTCAAGGGTTCTACATACACACAAAACAATTACTCGAAGATATCTTACAAGACCACTCTTAGAAGCTTCTGCGTAAAGGTTACCCAAGGGTTTTTAACACTATTTTCAGATAATAAAAATAGCCACCGTGCCCATGCATTCAGAAAGTTTCCTTTCTTCACGGCACATAGCTGTACCGGGTATCCCAGCCACTGCTTCTGATCACTTGCACAAAATAACCTCATGGGAATCTCACTCTCCAATGAATTGATTGTAGATGGCCCAGGAATTACATGTTGCTTCTTAGAACACAATTCCATGTATTCACTATCAAACAAGTCTGTCTTTAGGAAATACTATTTAAAACTGCCCTGCATTACTTAACAAAAACTTGGGTTTAATTCTCATTTATTTGAAAAAAAAAATTAAGAATGTAAAAATAAGTATTGTTCACAACTTTCTTCCTCAGGGATTTTATTTAAGTATTTTTACTTTGCAATCATCATTGTCAAACACTGTCACCGAAGCCTAAGTGTTTAACCAGGTGGCTATTAACTGGATTTTCAGAGGTCTAAAGCAATCTGTTTCTTCTGGAATCAAATTCAAGCCACAGCTTTCTTCTTTTCATATCAACAATTCCGACATTTCTGTGCTCTTAACAGTAGAATTGCTTAAAATACATTAAACTCTTGGTGCATTTCTTTCATCTCAAAATTACACACTACACCCTTGACAATGCTGTAGCACTATTTTCATCAGCACCTCTCATTTTCATGACTGAAAACAAAAATCATAATCGTAACAGAACATATTATTTGCATGTCTGTTAAAAAAAAAAAAAAAAAAGGAAAAAAGCTGAAGGCAAGTCAAGATTCCAAGAAAAAACACATTGATTCAGCTCAAAAAAAGCAGTTAAAGTAGTTCGAAGATGTAGACAATTAACCAAAACAGGGAGGAAAAGCAACACAACTGAACTGAGCCAGTTCCACACCTGCTACTGTGGCTGTGGATACGCTGCAGGTGGTGTTATTCGGGCATTAGACATTGTCTAATTATAGTTAACATTCTGATACACCAAACATTGTTGGCACTCACCGAGAGGATTAACAAGCTACTCAGGGTTAGTTTCAGATTCTCTCCAGATCGAGGTAAATTCTTTTTTATGGGTCGTGCTGACTTGTTTTAAGATCACAGGAGAGGACAATTGGATGTAGTGTTTTCATAGATGTCATTTCTATCCTATTTACTAGTATGAAGCTTTGGTCTTCATGAAGAAAAAAAAAAAAGCAACCAACAAAAATACCCCAAATAAACCCCAAAATAACAACAACAACAAAAACCCAACCCCACAAAGCTCTTTAAAAGAAAAACTTGAGAATCAAGAAAATTCCTGTTGAAGACCCAGAGGTAGGCGGCATATTGGTATGCTAAGTAAAATGAATGCTTTCAGAACAGTACCTGTGAAATGCGTGCTGACAAATTAGGTGATTCAAAGCACCTAGGTTGTTTCATGATAGGCACCTTCATTTATGCTTACGTAACAGATTTCAATTAAATGAGTAATTTTAAAGATGTAATAGTTGCAGTTACACAAAGATGGAACACTTGCAAAAAAATGGATGTGTATTGTTCCAAGTAATAATTCTTGTATTTGACACAGACTAGCTCAAAACTTAGGCTGTTTTCAGTCCAGTAAAGAAACTGGCAAAAAGCTTATCCTTCAGTTGGTTTGAGGTTTGACCCAGAACTGCTGAGATTTAAGAAGTGTTCTCCTACATCCAACTGTTGTTGGAGAAGGAGGGGGGGGAAGAGAAGAAAAACAGAGATACAACTACACTGTGAAATCTCAAGAGTGGCATTTAAATGCATCTTACCCGGCTTAGCAGCTGGTGGACACCCCTGTACGTAGTTACAAGCCCTTCACAGCAGTGCAGAAAGGCTCAACCACCTACCAAAGCCAGTAGAAGTCATTGAATTCCCTCAGGTTCCCCTGAAGAGATCCTGGCTATTGGTTTAAGTCTTTAAGTCAGCAGAGTAATACTGAGCTGTAAATACTGGAAGTATGAGCTCAGTCATGTTTCTTCATCCACATATAAATGGAAGTATAAAAGCCATGGCTCTGCCCGGCGTACCAAGTGCCCCCACCGTGATCAGATAAACTGCCCTGCCATTCACGCTACCTTTTCCAATACAGACAATCGAACTACCACTCCTGTTAGGTTTGAAAGTCAGATACACAGAAGTCCTTTGGTAACGACACCAATTACCTGCACAGTGATGTGGCAGTAGGTAGACGGGACTCTGCCTTAAAAGAACGGCAGTTCGCTCCTTCTGAAGATCTGAAATACTGTTCAACTAATTGAGTAGATTCTTCGAAACAACAGGTAGCAAAAACGAAGTAGAGGTGTATTTCCTAAATTAGTCTCCTTACCGCAAGTAAGCCCTCACCGTTGGAGCCACAGGGAATGTCAAAGACAGGTTAGGCTCCAAGAGACCACCCCAGCTGGGTACCTACGGACACGCAGTTCTGCGGCACCTTCAGGCTCATAGCACTTGGTTTGTTGCGCTTTTACCCCAAGAGCTGTAGAGTAACTGCGCAGGCTCGGTCAGACAGAAGCCCTGCAACCACACCTCCTGGGAAAACTCTTCCAACACCTCCAATTAACATTGGTGGAAATTTTCTTCTAACAACCCCGAGCCAAGTACCCACCGCAGCTGTACCGCTAGCACCTGCCTAAGACCAGTCAGCACAGGAGGCTCCACTGATCTTGCCATTCCCAATCAGAGCTGCTTCGTGGAAGTTCTGTAGATCCTGTTCCTTCTGGTTTCAGGGAAGGTCACATGAAATAAAATGGCATCAGAAAGACAAAAAGGAATTAAGAGTCCCTGGATCCACACCCAAGAGCTGCAATATATTAAGTCCCAACGGTAACTTCAGACAGGTATCTTGGTGTGAATCATTTCCACAGGCCCTGGTCAGTCATGAATGTTGCGCTATCCACTACACTGCTAGCTCAAGTACATAGTATGGGTCAAATTAAACCCCAAAGTCACAAAGGACTATTTATTGAAAAATGACAGCAAAGTCCTCAAATTACTGCACTTGGTAAGAGATATATGCACGAGCTGTATAAAAACGTTCACTATCTTCATCGCAATTGGGCATCTCTCCCCACTTTCAGGTCAGATTGTTTCTCAAATATCTGGATTTTGCCTGCAAATAAACCAGTTTTTCACTGTATTTCCTAACAATGGCAGAGGATGAGGAGCCCTGAAGGAACAGTTGGGAATGTCATACTTTTTCCCTGACAGAACACTGCCCTTGCAGCCACTCTGCCCAAGAACATACTTGTTTGGTACTCATAGGCTGGAAGTCAAAAAACTAACGAGGCCAGAAGAAGCCTTCTTATGGCAAATCAGGTAAACTAGAGTTGTCCTTATTGTTTTGACAGAATCCATGCAATCTCCTGGGAGGCTGCAAAGACAGTTCTAATAACCTACTAGCCAGGGTACTTCTTAAATGGCCAATAGTTTTTCTCCTCCCATATTAAATGTGAACTCAGTATTTCAGTTTTACACTGCAATGGAATGAACTTGAAGCTTAAGCTTTGTTTCGAGCTCAGATTTAAAATCAGGTAACAAAAATATAGGCAGACGATACCTGAACAACCTCTGTATTAAAAGATTCCAAATACTAAGGATCACAGTGACAAAGGAAAGCCTAGCAATTCAGAAAACAGTAAGAGCAGAGAGGAAGAAAAAAAATTCAGTTTGTTATTTTTGCTTCTTTGAATACTGTGGAATGAAGTGTATTGTCAGAAATTCAAGCAGCATTTGTTTCCTCCTGGAGGTTTAAAAAAAATCCTAATATTGAAATATCATGCCAAGATGACCTCCATCACACAGAAGCAAAAAAGGCATAAATACCAATTTATTTCTACCTTTAGGTCACTTCATGATAATGAGTCACACTTAACATTCTTCCTACTTCTGGGCTGCTTCAGTCCTTTGTTCGGTACATCTTCCTTACAAGGTACTTACTACATAAAATCCCTTATTCGTGCAAAGCATCACTTAGTCTGAAAATGAAATGTGGAGGAACCCAAACACTCTTCAACTTGCAATGAACATGCAGGGAAAAGCTGACACCCAATACAAAGGAATTAATTGAGAGTTTATTCCAGATGGTTCTCCTCACTTAGTATACAAGTCATGAGAATTATCTTATCAAATAGACTTGGACTTCAATGATATGATTTTTTTTCTATAATGCATTTTGGTTTTTGCTTCTAACCACCTGTTTAAAAAAAAAATCTGCCAGATGTAATGTTCAGCACAAACTGCAATCCTTGCTATTTGTAGAAAATATGACTTAAAAAAGGACACTATCAGGTAATTCTTATTTTAAATGTTTACACTTATAAAAATGCTTTGGAAGCTTGAAACTTAAATCCTTTGTAGTAATTTTCTTCTTCCTACCTCCCTCTTCCCATCTTAAATGCCTTTATTAGCCCAGGATTATCATAAATGACAGAGTGCAGCTGCTGGTTAAAAACATTAAAATACCACAAATGGATAAATTCTTTTTCAAAAAAATGGAAGCTTACATGGATTTTTTTTCAAACAAATAGAACGCATAGATGGCTACGGCACTCATCCGTCAACCTTTACAGTGTCCACTTGAGGTAGCCTGGCTAAAGGATTACTAAACAAGCCCCAACATAATCTAAATCTTCGCACCAAAACCACTATCTCCTTGAAAGTCCACTCTCAGCTGAACACCAGTGGTGACCAACAACATTGTACGTTTTAAAAGCTTTCGAAAAACAGCCGCCACGGTGGACATAAACGTTCGTTCTGACTCTGCAGCCCTCGATGCACGCTGTCTGCACATAAATGTCTCGGCTGTAACACACATTCCAGATGCATCCCTAAAAGCCATACCGTTATGTAAAGCACAGCCACGCTAACTTCAGGATACAAACCATAATTCCACGTCTACAAAATGAAAGTAGAATTAGTGGCAGTTTATTGCCTCATACAAATTTAACCAACATGGCAACCATGCCAAAGGAATTAAAACATTTTCAGGACATATGTACAGACTGTACATTTCAGAAACATCTGAACAATAAAAATGCAAGTACAATCTCTGCATTACGAATTAAACTAAACAAATGGTTCGAAACCGTCAATGCATTGAATGGGTTTACAAAGGCACTTCCCTACCCAAAATAGGAAATGACGATCTGCAGCCTAGAGGGAGGTTGGAGAAGAGTGCTCATCAACTACTGCACAATCTCAACTTTAAGAAAAAATAAGCAGGATTTAATCAAACATTTATAGGATTCAATGTGATCCACTTCTGAAAGAGTTCACACAGTCTCATCTTTGTTTTTATGCTGCTTTTCTTGGCTCTCTCGTTCCGTACTTTGGCTCCTTCGGCGATCGTGTTTGTCCGAATGGTCCTTGCTGTCGCTGTGATCGTGTCTGTGGGAACGTTCTTTGCTTCTGCTACGCTTTCTGGATTTTTCTTTGCTGGGACTCTGGTCTCGTTTTCTGGACTTCTCAACACTATCTGTTCTGCCTCTGCTTCTGCTTCTACTTCGTTTATTTGACTTCTCTTTACTTTCATTTTTATGCTTACTCGATTTCTCTTTGCTCCTGCTTCTGCTGCGCTTACCTGTGTTCTTACTTCGGCTCCTACTCCTATGCTTCCTTTCCCGGCTTCGACTTCGGCTATGTTTTCTTTCCTTTTTGGAATCCCTCTTGTCATCCCGGTGTTTCTTGTCATCTTTGTCATCCTTGTGTCTTCTCTCTTCTGTATCGCCCTTACTTTTCCTCTCTTTTGATCTTTCTCTAGATCGATCTTTTTCCCTCTCACTACCTCTTTCCTTATCATAATCTCTCTCTTTTTTCCGGCTCCGCTCATTTTCCTTCTCTCGCTCCCTGTCCCTGTCTCTTCTATCTCCTTTCCTGTCACGACTTCGACTACGGCTTCTGTATCTATCCCTGCTTCTGCTTCGCCTCCGTTCTAGCGTGCGATCGGTACTTCGAGATCTCCGCCTTTCTTTTTCTCGCTCCTTAGCTTCACGCTCTAACCTCTGCCGTTCTCTTTCTCTTTCTAGTTCTCTATCAAAACTAGATGATCCATGGCCTTCCCGATGATGACTTCTGCTTCTGGATCTTCTGGGAGATCTCCTGGGACTGATGGATCGTCTTGGAGACCTTTTGAAATAAAAGATACTCAATATGAAACACAACCTTTTAAAGTTAGGGGACCCTCTTTACCTTCCAATTTACACTTTACATACAGTCTAGATTTAACCTTAAATACCAAATATCACCTGATTATTTTAATCCATTAGCACCCATAAACTGTTTTGCCTGTAGCCTTAAAAGCTATCTCAGCAAAAAGATGACACGTTTCTGGTAATAAGTGGTTCAAGAATGAACTTTTAACATTCATTTTCAAAACAACGTGTATATGACCTTGAACGTCTACGTTCCACATGCCGATCTATTTCCTCCATTCCCTCCTTGCCATCTTTCTTGATTTTTCTAGGTCTGCTTTTGATTTGCTGGTCAATGGTTTTCTGGACTGGCACGGGAATTCTTGGAAACAACGTGGAAAACCATTCAAGCTTAGTGAGGAAGGAACGAAGCATCTCCCCGATGGTCATAATGCAACCCCCGCCTGCCTTCACATCCAGGTCCTACAAAATACAAGCAAAAAATATCCTGATGGTCAAAAATACTCTTTACCATTTAAAAAAAAAAAATGCTGCTACATTACTGCCCTCTTGAAGTCTCATGATTATGAAAGTTTACTTGTCTCATATTCTAATACATTTCCTTAGAAAAATTCAAATTCTGCACCCTTTGGATTTGGCAGTATGTTACAGACGGGGAATGGGACTTAATATCTATGCATGCAGGCACAAACTAATCCTGCAGCCATCTGGATGGTAAGGGACTGTCGATGAAGAGATTAATGCGAAATCCCCTTACACAGTCTGGTTATACGGTATGAACTTGTATTTTATTTAAAAGCCACAAAGTTGAGAAGTCCTCTCAAACTACATTTAACACTCCATTTTGTGGATGTACAACTGCGTACCATCATACCCAACCCTGTGGCCTAAATCATTTAAGAACTACATCATCGCCTATCTAAGAATGATCATAGAAAAACCTCTAGTACAAAATGGCATCCTAACAGAATTGGAAGCAATAGCAAACCAACTGCCATGAAGCAGTGAGGTTTCTAATTTAGAAATATGTAAAAAAATAAATAAATGAACAAATAATTGGAAACGCATAATCCATGATGACCATTGTCTCTGAAAAGGGTCATTACCGCATGAAGGCCTTCTTGCTATGCCCTCTCACAGCTCAGGACATGTTAGTCAGCTATTGTCAGTCCCAAACCTATAGTGCAAGCACACAAGGAAAGTGAGATTTGTTATCTAAACAGGAAGAGAAAATCTAAATGTAAAACTGCTTGCACTCACACACATTTAAGTGTTCAGATATACAGTTTTTCCAAATATAATCGCTGCAGAGATCTAAAGAAGAAAAAAAGGAGTTAAACGTAGCACCCGGAGAGTACGTACAGTTAAACAAAATAAACACAAGAAGCATTTTGAAAAGTAACTGTGTATCCTGGGAAGTTTTTCACAGCAGCATGATAAAAGACGAACTGCTTCTATACATTTAAGAACTGGAGGGAAAAAAAAATCCTGTAGGTTTAAATAATTCCATATATACATAAACTTGCTTCATCCTATTAAGCTTGACCAGGACTGGTAAGAAACTTAAGACAAGCAGCCCCAAGCACTTTTTCCTACATAACAGAATACTGCTGAAAGCAGCTGGGAAAGAAACACTAATTCCAAAAATATACTGGGAGAGGTTAAACAATACACAAATATACGCTGATAACCAGCATCTGCAAGAACTGAAATGTATAAACTAAAAGAGGTGCTTTGAATAATGAACCTGCACAATGAATTGCACTTGTGATCACTTTATTGTCCTGGGAATCAAGTTGTTTGTGAGACCCTGAAAATGAAGCCACCCCAGGCCTCCTCATACATTACAACGCAACGCTGCAGAGAAGGGTTCACATTAACTAGCACCACCTGGGGGAGAAGGAGGAGATCACAGCAATGCAATCAAGATTCAAATTTGGGTTTTGTTACAAACACACAGTAACACAGGTTTACCTGAAATAACAGCTGTCTCCTTTGCACAGTGTTTTTGATACTTAGCATGAAAGAGGCTGTTTAAAATAAATACACTGCATTGCAGTCAAATACAGGTATAATTAACGCTATTTTTAATACAAGTACTTGGACATCATTTGTAACTACAACATTTGAAATTTCTCAAAGTAGATGCCTACTGTCACACTAAAGAGGCCAAGTGATCCTTGCCTTTCCATTCTTAAATCTAGGGTGTAATTTAAAACCTGCTTAATACATACAAGTTGTAACAGTATGCAGCAGACTGTACGTTCAACTTCATAGACCAAGAAACCTCACCCACCAGCTCCTACTGTTTCTCCAGACAGTAAATCAGGACTGTGGTACCAAAGGTATTCTCCCATCTGACAGCACAATAATGCAGCCTCTTTATGGAACTTCTTCAGTTGGTAACTCAGGCTTCTTCCTTCGCCCCGTTAGCAAAGACACTGAAGTGACTACAAACAATGCCGCCTTAGGCAGTTGTGAGGCTGTTTGTTTCTCCTCTGAAGAAATCCCGGGTTTAGTTATTCCAGGACATGAATAATGACCACAGAGATTTTTGGTAGATTTTTTCCAAGGTGAATGTTGGTTTCTACTACATACTTCCCACTCTTCTATGCAAGCACCAATTCCCCCTGTCCCAGTAATAAACGCAAAATGCAGGTTGAGCACTCTCAGGACTCAGTACACCTTGCTTTAAAAGAATTCTTTTTCTAAAAACTGCACAGAAGATGCACTCACACAGCCTGCTGTCTGCATTCTGATTTAATAAACCTGCTTCACATGGCTCAGCAATATTTGACACAGTAACATCCTAACCAATGGAAAACTCTGTTAAATCTTTGAAATCTAAGAAAAATGACCCGGGTCCCAGCTCAGACCTGCTTCCTGCGCTAATTAATTAAATGACAGGAACATAACATTGCAACATTCAAGCTACAGCAAACCTTATCGAACAATGTTTAAGCCTAAAGTAGTAACATGAAAAGAAACAAAAGAAAACAAATTATTACCCTCGCCGACATACCTCTTCATCATCAAGAAAGGATTCAAACCAGTCCCATAGATCTGTAGGTGGTTGTGTGTACCTTTAAGTACAAGAAGAATGTAAAATTTTAATACAGCTTTCTGTATATTAAGTTAGCCATTAGTTGATCATATTGATACTTACCTAATATACATAAATCCAAGAGCCCTAATATATGGAGAGTCTGTATGAGTTATAAGGCCCATCACTTGCTTACGCGTGAGTTTCAGTGTAAATAATTTGTAGAGCAGACAAAAGGCAGTAGACACAATTCCTCCAGTTCCAACACCACGCACCTTTAGAAAGAAAGTTAAGTGACAATGCAGGAAGTCACAAAGACGTTATCCCAAATCTTCAAAAGGAGAAGAGAACTAGTACAGGATAAAATCTGAATCTACAAACAGCTACGTGGCAAAAGTAACACTACTTGCATCCACAGCTCTGGAAGCAAGGGGAATATATCAACTCTGTAATAAATACTTTTACATACAGGGACTGAGCCAACATACAAGCAAGTTTTAGGTATGCTTGGGAAATTTATTTACCAGACAGAAAAATTTAAGGCAGCACGTACTTCTACTTACCCCTCCACACATCCCTGTCTGGCCTGCTGTTTTTCTGCTCCCCTTTTCCCACGGTTCAACATGTGTAACCTGAAAGGGTAGGGTAGGGGGAGGAAAGAAAGAAGGAAAGAAAATTATCATCTCCATAATGATTAGCTGCCTATACAAATCTAATTTAAACAATGGCTATCCTAAATCAATCTTGAATAACTTGTCTTCTCCTACCAAACTCAAAATTGAGTCTGCTTTGTCATTACAGCAATGCATTTGGCAAAATTATAACCAAAATCACGGATGAAGTAAAAAACACCAACCCCAAAACAAGCAGCCATACTTATTCTATACCCCACATACTTTCAGACACTTTATGACTAAACGCCACCATCACTATTTTCTGTGGTGACTAAACAATTACCTTTATTTAAACTGTCTCTTAACAAGGTTAGTGATACCTGCTCACACAGCTACAGAAGTCAAAATCTCGTCTCATATTCATAAATCTCATTTACGCAGTGAGCTTAGCTAGAGAATTCTTTTGAATATCACCTACAATCAGGTCAAAAGAAAGATGTCTATGAAGTGTAGGATTTCAATCTAAAAAGCCAGTGCTTTTTCTTGCAGATTGCAGTGATGCTCTTAGATAAAATGTTTCCTAAGTACTCGTGAATAAAGCTCGCCTAATTCAAATCTTCTGAGATGCATTTAGAGATGAGCACGTAAGCACAGCTAACGTACGCCTTTCCTTACATTTGACAATAGGAGCCATAAACAAATTAAGAACCATAAAACCGCCTAACCTACATTTGAAATTGTGAAGTTAGGAGAAGCAACATCTGGCTCAATAAACAAGTGTATTTCCTAAACACATCAACTTAAAAAAAATAAGCAAAAGGGATACAACAGTGTTACGCCGGATCGGGGATAAGAGTTTGTGGCCAAGTTGTAGAGTAGTTCACAAATTAAAATTCTTTAACAATGCATGAAACAAAACTGATTATGCACACAATCACATGGTGTCAGAGAGATACTAACAGCTGAGGTTGCTTTTGATACAGTTGCTGCTTTATCCAAACAGGAAAGGTGAGAGATGCCAATACCGTAGAATTCAAAATCCACTATGACTTCCTGTATCATCAGCATCATGTAAGAAGTTCACAAACACTACGTAAATAACATTGCACGGCCTTCTGATTATCCACGGCTTTGCCTCTCACAGGAAGTGAGAAGTATTTTTCAGTCAAAGGATCAAGTATGACACTATCACAATAGTAGTCTTTAATTATAATTAGGCTTATTGGCCATAAGCAATATAAACGTGCTGGTTTTGACAGCCATCAATTTAAAAAAAATCCCGAAGCCCTGAAAACAATACTCATTTCAGAAAAGAGTACTTAAAAGTTTTGATCCTACAAAGCCTGCTGCATCCGCTTAACTTGTTGGAAGTCTACATACTAAATGAAGTGGAAGACATGCCCATGGTGCTAAGATCAGGGATCAGGGATAAAGAAAGAGGAAGTAATCTACTTTGCAGATACAGAACTGAAACCCGAGACCAGAACTACAAGTGAATTAATTCAGATATCTAGGCAGAATCCGTATCTTCAAAGATGGTTCCTATCACTAGCTGCTTCTGTGACTTAAGATTATCTTTCCCCAGAATCCAGCATTCTTAAATTTTTTTAAACTTACTTCGGTTCCCCCTCCAAAAAAGACAAATACACTCAAAAATACACCTGGTGGATATTGAACTCATTCAAAAAAAAAAAAAAAGATAGCAAATTTTCAGGAATCTTAAAATACCAACAGAATTCAGATCTTCTGAGTATCAGTGAAGTACCTTAACCATCAGGTTATCTTCTCCCCCACATCTATTACTCATGAGTAAGTAAGGGCTGAGGTTTCTCTTTTTGAATGCAGTTTTGAGTCAGAGTAACTGTGAAATTCAGTAAACAAAATTTATTTATTGGATTAATAAGCGGGTACTTAATGGTATGTCAAAATTCTTCCCCAATTTAAGCTATGTATGGAACGAAACACTGAGACAAACAAATTGTTTGACCTACTGCAGTTGATCTCTACCAATGCGAAGATGAATCACATTAAGTATTTTTTCTACATCTGAAAAGGTCCATGTAAAATACTGTAAGCTCTCAAATTTTCTGAAAATACTTTTTGTATCTTATTATCACTTGCAAGAATAAACTTTGCTGCTTTACATTCTGATAGTCAGAATGAATTATTTCTCTCTCATATTCAGCAAGTGGTAAATTAACCAAAGAGAAGCTTTGTCAACAATCTACGTTCCTCTAAGTATTATGAGAGCTAAGTAGTCTGCTCCAAATGACAGAGCACAAGCAGAGAAGTACTGTCATTAAGAGAAAAAACAGTTGCACTATCTTCATAAATAAGCACAAACAATGCCAAAAATCACAAAATACTTCCGTGGAGTTGTTTTTCAAATTATAGTGCTCTAAGTAACTTGACTTGCTCTGGTTAAATGAGACAAAAAGGCTACCCTTTTTTTTTTCCTAATTTCAAAGTATATTGAAACCTGCTAACTGACACAGTAACGTTATGAAGCAGAATCAATCCACCTGAGAAAAATATCTCGATAACCACCGAAGTACAGCTAACTGAAGACAGCAGCCTGAATTACCTAAGTTTTGCTCTCATTATCAGAACAAAGAACGTGGCTGTGTTGATGAGCATTAATTATGCATACCTCTACCTGGGAGACTGGCTTGATGGAAGCCTCGCTGCAAAACTGATTCAATCCTGCTAACAAAACAAGAACTGAGACATGGGTGCACTGATACAGTTCAGTTATCTCCCCAGCACATCCTACCTAACGCCAAGAGAAGCACTAAAATGAACTTATTTTTGAGTGGGAGGGGGGGATCTTAACCTCTGACTGAGGGAGGCGGCCACATGCAGACTCCTGTTGAAACCACCTACAGCCAGCACCACACCTCTGGTGCAGTTATACGGCGTGTCGGCAACCCCCAGGCTGCGGGGAGTGCTTGTCTCTACAAGTGGCATGCAGACGGGGTCCCCTCCCCACTCTCTCCGACTGAGAACGCGGTCCTTCGGCGGCCATTTCACCCCCACTGCCCTCGCTCACGCGGCCCGCTCCAAAACTAACTTACAACTCCGTAATTCCAAATCCGACGCGAAACACGCTTCTGTTGTGAGAGAGAAGGCAGCACCACGGATTCCCCCAATTAAGCAATAAAAAGCCAGACTTGCTCCCATCCCTTCGCGCAAAATGCGGGGCAGGAAGGGAGGCGGGAGAACCCGCAGGCCGCGATCAAAGCCTTCCCCCTC